CTTGAAAAACACTGGTACCATCGAAACATCTTCTTTCTTACAGCATGGAGCCTGCAGGAGAGAAATGGATGGCACCAGGTCTGAGGAAGTGTGAGTGTTTTTTGGTTCATATCAGGTTGTCTCATCTTTGCATCAGTGAATTCAGAAAGTCACATCAGTAACTGCATTGTGTTTGTTCTGTTTTTCAGATTTCTGTCCACTAACAGTCGACCTAAACACTGTGAACAGATTCCTCAAACTGTCTGATGAAAACAGGAAGGTGACACCTGTGGAAGAGGAGCAGCCGTATCCTGATCATCCAGACAGATTTGATCTCTATCAGCTGCTGTGTACTGATGGTCTGACTGGTCGCTGTTACTGGGAGGTGGAGTGGAGTGGGAAAGTCTATGTATCGCTGAGTTACAGAGGAATCAACAGAAAAGGAGACAATGACGATTCCTGGTTTGGATTGAATGATCAGTCCTGGAGTCTAATTTGCTCAGATGATGGTTACACTGTTTGGCATAATCATAGAAAAGCCTTCATCCCTCTCTCTTCTGTCTCTGGCAGAGTAGCTGTGTATGTGGACTGTCCTGCTGGGACTCTGTCCTTCTACAGAGTCTCTTCAGAGACACTGATCCACATCTACACCTTCAACACCAAATTCACTGAAACTCTTTGTCCTGGATTTCTATTCAGGAGTCGTTCTAAGAGGTCTTGCTGCTCATTTTAGTGTAGTTCATTCTAAGTTAGAGAAAACCTAAGTTCACATATCTTTCATCTAAGATATTGTTTTAGATTGACATTACATGTACAACAAGAGATAATCACAAAGCACTTCACAATAAACTACCAGTCAGTCAACATTGGATAAAAACAAGAAATTAATTCAAGCTGAGTGCAGCATAGTATGGCCCTGCAACTCAGTGCTGGTCTGGCCTAGTGGTGTCCACAGGAGCTCCAGCACCACTACCCTGTTGCATCATTCATGATCTCACGTCTTTCCAGCACCCGTCCACTAAACGGTGCCTTTGGCAAAAATTCCAGTTCAGTACAATCTCAACGGCAGGCCTTAAAAGTTTTATTTAAATCCTTCAAGACAGGAGTCATTGTCACTTCCTGTTTTGTGGGGCAGGATTGACGAGGACTTCCTGTGTGATTATCAAGGGTTACAGGATACAGTTTCCATCTCATGCTGGAGGAGTCACCCAATAATCTTCAGTTTATTCTGCCAGTGGCTGGGTCTTAAGTGATGTCATTAAACTACCACAGCAATATGTGAAGCTGTGCTTCCTGATAATGAATAAGAAATCTGTTGCAGATCAGCTGATGCATCATGGAGATATAACTACTGGAATAATTTAGGGGGCGTCCTGGAGTCACATTTCAATGAACCTATTGGCCTCTTAAGAGGTTAACAAAGTCATTTATGTTTTATGTGAAAACTGGATGACTGTTTACAGTTTAGAGCCAACTGTAAACATTGAGGGACTGAAGTTCATCATTCTATCCCACCAACATGCTCCAGCTCTTGCTGATCTGCCATCAGACACATTATTAAATCTGAATTAATAAAACACTAAAAGCTAGTCAATCAGCAGGAAACCAAATGACTTGAAAGGGGGTGGGGCTATGGTGATGTCACATATTAACCATGTGAATGTGATCAGTGCTCGAACATGGAGATTGTTACTTTGAAAAGGAATTTCAAGGTAATGGGAAAGAGAAATACTGTCAGGTTGTTCTTGTTCTTATTTTTAACTGCTTAACAAGGTGTCATGATTTGTGGTTGTAAAACGGAGAGGTAGACACGGTGGACCCAGGTTGCTTAATAATGACGATGGTTTAAAGATGAAAAACAAAAACACAATCCAGGCAGCACAGGTGAACTTGGAGGCAAGGAACTCCACACCGGTAGAGCTGGCAATGGCAATGACACGGCAGAATAGAGGACCAGGAGCAGGGAACGAGGAACAGCTGAGGACAATAAAGGGGAAGACGAGACGGAGACACAACTGAACACTGAAACCTAAATAAACATACAGAAAAAAAACAAATCCTCACACAAGGACTAAAATATTTTAGTAAACCATCTTACTCTTTTATAGTTGCTTACTATTTTAACCTTCCTTTCAGCCATTTTTATTATCCCGTGTTGTTTTTAAAATCCTATCAGGACTTTGAGATTTTTATATTATTATGTTGATATTTCACTTGTTTGTGCTTTGTACTGGTTGTTGTTTCAAACAGTGAACTCTCAAGATGACTTTTGTTTCTGTGAGGTGACTGTGGTTAAACTAAACAAACTGAGTTTTATGTTTTTTATGGGAGTGGATGAGCAAATGAAATCTTTGTATTGTTACACCTGTTATAATAATGTATTCTGATAATTATTAAACAACCAAATTAAGGTTTGGGGTTTAATTATTTATATTTTTCACTGTTTCTGTGACAACATCTGTAATCTGATTTTTAACTGAGTGCTGTAGCACAATGGCATACATATGGTTACATAATGTAACTTTTACTATATGCTGAAGCCTGTTTATAACTGGGTAGTCCTGAGATGTTGATTATAAACTGTGACTGACAGGCAGCCATGCAATCCCACTGCTTAAAAAGTGAAATGATTTTTAATAACTTTTTATTATGTCTTTTGCTTTAATTTAACTAAATTGCACAAAATATTGTAATCAAAAGTTGAATATGTGCCGCCTATTCCTACCTCTGTGTATGGGTAGTTTTGTATAACTTGTTTATATTTTGGAACACTATCAACAATAAAGAAAACCATTGATGTCAGGCTTGGTTGTTTTTTGTTCCACTTATGTCAGTAATAAATAAAGTTGGGGTTATTTCACATACTTAAAATTAAGAAATTCACATTCACAATACTTTAGACTTTTTGCTAATCAGAGAAAAGTGAGGTGACCGCCTTTAACTGTCCTCGTCTCTTCACTGTGTGAAAACAGCACCCACATCACTTAACTTTATTTACAACAAACCTTAAGATGACTGTAAACCACAGGCGTAACTTTGTGCAGTTAAGCCGTATGTTGATTTGTTGGACATGTCCTCACCAATTCTGGCATGAAGGGGTCAGTCCCACCAATGTTTCCTGCACCTGTTTTCTTTATGTGT